TTTCCACTAAACTACTTCGCCTAATAACATAAGGTTCTAAACAATATAATGCTTTTGATTCCACATACTCTATATTCTTCTTTATTTCACTGTTTTGGCCAAGAGTTGGCTGGTCTCTTGGGGTGGCGGATTATAGCTTCCAAAATAAAAAATTTAAAACAATGCGAAGTATACTGGCACTGACCCTCGAGCAAATAAAAAGGTGCCATACTTGAATGATCCGCATGACGGATCGGGCTGAGGCTTCATCACCCATAATGCGTGCAAAAACAGCTCTAAAAAAGAAATTTGGGAAATAGGTGATGGCTTACATTTTATTTTGCCATACCGGAACACAGCCCGTTGGAGCTTGGAAGTCCTGGTTAATCCCATTGAGGGAATAACACGCATGGAAGCAAGTCCCCTGGGGGACAGTTCCATGGGTGGTGGGGGTGCTATTTTACTTAAACTTATGGCTAATATCTACGTTTGTTAGTGAGCCCAGTTTCTTGATCCCTCTGATAATATCAGATTGTCCATTCCTCCAGAAAACCAGTTGGGACTCATTGTACAAAATACTAAAAATCTACTATGTTATGTGATCCCGATGTACAAACTGGTCAGTCCAATCAGCTGGATTGTGCTTCACCTTGTAGAGGAATAAAATGCTCGTTTATTTATCAGGGGGTACAAAGCATAGCCTTAAGATTTCTAGTCGTTTAGAACTAGAAATTGCAAATTCAAATACTACTAAGTAGAGCAAGTAAAAGGCATAATGGCTAACTGATGGAGTAATGGCATAAAAATGTATTTATTGTAGTGATATGGTGCCGTGCAATGGGAACTAATAAGTTGTTATGGTTAATACTCGGAGCAAATACGAATCGACATGTAAACTTGTCTGCACATATTTATGTATGTTATCGGGGATTATAACACTATATATATACTTATCCTGTATATACCTCATATTATCCTTCCAGGTGACAAAGGATATTGATTTTATTTTAACATCCAAACATCATTTGAAAAGGACTAAGATGGGAGGATAAACGATTGCTTATATAAATCGTATCGTTGTTGGAAGACCCGAAAGCGGTTGTAATTTGTTCGACATTTTGAGCGACTTTATTGTTAATTCAGTTTTAGGCTATTGCCCTTGTGATTGACGTTTGGGTTTAGGTGCAGCAAGTTGTAGCCATCCGGGGATTCCCCCGACTGGTTTTGATATTTTGTTGAAAATTATAGATCAAAATTCCAACTTTTGTACACTTAGTGGTTGCTTGTAGGTTGCTGAAAGATTTGTTAAAAGATGTTGTCTGTTCAAAAATACACACAATGTATATATACGGTGCCAAGGTTAGAGTAAGCACACTACTCAATCCAGCGACCCCTCACACCCTTCCCTAGCTGGCTTCATTTCGTCCAGTGTCGTACTTCTAGCTCATACACGATATCAGTGTGAATCACAATGCACTCTCACCGCATCACTTCCGTGCGTTCTCTTCAATTACTGGGAATGTTACTTTCCGCCACTCTGTCGAATACTTCATATCATTTGGCATAGTCCAGCCACTTTCACTATAAGATGGCGGCTTGCATGATTGGGTCGGCTTAGGATTTGGCAACGTAATATGAGTCTCTAACTGTCACCAGCGTCCAATGAACATAGATAATATTTAGTCGTTCCTGGTATGGGCAGCGCAGCTCCTTGACAATTTTCGTTGCTGGTTTTGCGAGTCTCGTGTGTTGCATAGTCATGATATCTGGAACATTCCAGTCGTCCATCGAGCCCACGGAGATTGCATTCTTGAGTGGTGGCCTCCAGATCGTGTGCCCCAAACCTATAGATCTAGGCGTGTCTATGGTTTTGTGGACAAGGTTGCCTTTGTCCAATTTGAATGATAGCCTTTCGTCAACAACCACTTCCAGGCCTCATCTAGGTAGAGCTGAAGGATCTCATAATCGCCTAGTCCCTTAATCAAGCGCCAATTCTTGATGTCTTTCTCGAAACTTAGAAATGTGGACTGATGATCCTGCTGAATCTTTGTTGAAAACTAAGAACAGGTGAGTCTCAAAGGCTCAAACCTTCGGCATGCCGCACTTTACTCAAATCGGGCAGGAAAAGATGTTCGGACCGTGTCCTCTGATTGTCATTCGGGGATAAATGTACTGATCCATCCAAATACTTGACTTCTGACGCCACAGGTCTCTATTTTGTAAAGCGGGATGCGACAATCCAAAAGATCGCAAGCTTTTGATAAAATCATGTACCCACTTCGACTGCTTTGATCGAATGGTGGTGCGCTATCAGCAGGTTCATGACACATACTCGATCTTGACGAAACCCGTGCTGCTCCGTTGCAGAGATTCAATAGGTTTCCATGTAGCCCATCAACGAGTCCGCAAAGACCACTTCCGGATGGTAATTGACAAGCCTAAATCGAATGCCTTCTCTGTGAATAGGGGTGACAGTACCGGTTAACAGCTTTGACAGAACTCTGCTATCACCCAGAAAACACTGGCACTTTCCAGCAATTAGTTTGGCTAAGTACGAAGTCACCACCTAATGATTTTTGGGTGAATATTGTCCGATGTAAGACAGCTGTGTGTACGCAAGGATAGCGATCTTTTAGCACCGTAGCCACGGCGTATGCGACTCGGACTAAGACCAGCGGCGGAGGGATGGAAAAAAGAATAGTGTTCGTGCTTTTCACCTCTTGGAAGGCAAGTGAATCTTGGACCTGTAAGGTGTTGGTAAGCGTTAGCAGTACGCGTTTATCCACCAACCGTAGTACGCGGTGGGATTCAGCGCCGCAACTTGCAAACTCTATTGAGCTGTTTGTAAAGTACCCTGTGATTAACACATTATCGTTTCGCCAGCACCTGTTTGCATGTCAATTTATCAGCAGGAATCAACGGCACACATAATTTATGTTCAGCTACCTACGCTGTGCGATTTCATGAACTGGGATTGTTTTTGTAAATGCAGCATGTCTAATCCCTTAAGGTTTCTTCACGGTTTCCTAAAAGTTATTTTGTTTTGTGGGAACGAAAGAAAGCTGTTGGCTCTGCTGCTTTCGTAACTAGCAGTATTCTTCATGCCATCTCTAGGGCGCACTCAGTCAGGAAGGTCCAACTAACCCTTCCAACGAATGCAGACGATACGTGGTAACGCGCAATTGCTTGCATCCTTTGGGCTCTGCATCGAGATATTCAGTGGAGCAGTTGTAATCGAAATGTAGTATCGCAAAATGGCTTCTATGTAAGAGTTCCTCGCTGGTGAGCAAATGGTCTAACATAGATGGATTATTCGCTGTTGTGAACAAGTTGGGTGCGTTGACGGGATTGTATAAGGGAATACTCGAGCTAATGCTCTGAAAGCTAATGCTCTGAATTGCTTACTGATGAGTTCACTACTCGTCTCTTGTCTTCCGGCATGAAAGTACAGCTCACTCGTCTATGGTTCGATGAGCCCAGGTGAAATACTGAAGCTCGAAGTGGTTTAAAACCCGTTAACCGGGTTTATTCCAAGTTTACTAAGATTGCTGTACGAAGAACAGTGCGTGAAACTATGACACTAATCCAGTCTTATCGTCATTTGCAAGTCGAACTCATCGTAACCGATTGTATATGCCATCTCTATGACTCCCCCTCTTAAGGCCAATGCTTCACTTGCGAGCACCATGTGGCACACGCGAATATCGTTAAAAGCTTGTGGTGTCGAATATAAAGTGAAACCTCAGCTACGTGTGCTTGGAACGAAGGGTAGTACGTGTTGGAAAACTGTTGCAGAATGTGTTGTTAATAACTAATCAGTGCAGTAATTTGAAACATTGCTGGCTTCATATTTCACAAATAACCGATTCGGAATATGATTACACAGTGTTAACGACCTACTACATTTGTGAGCGCTGTGATATGGGGAGGCAGATATTTTTAATCATACATAAGCAATTATAGAACGAATAGAGTATTAAAGGTATTTTATATAGTAATATTTTTTGAACAGATTCTGTTAGAATTTTATTTACTTAGACTTCCACTTGCCTCCATGCTGCAGCAATCATTATAAAAAGGATGGTAATGATTGCACTTCTGTTAGGGACAGTAGACTGGCGTGTACTGTTTCGAATTCACATCAATCTAGAGAGAAATACGATGAAACCGTTTTGCTCCTCCATATTTGGTAAAGCTTTGTTGCTGTTCACCTCATTGGTATTATAAGCATAAGGGGAGAAATTTTATGACAAAACGTATAATCCAATATGTCAAAGTTTTGGCCAGTGGTTCATTTTATTTTGTCCTAGAATTGTGTGCTATATTTATATTTGATTGAGAATAACTCGAGGATGATACATTATGTCATCCATCTAAGCTTGTTTTTAGGGTTCTTGACATGTTCCAAAATAATTTGTTTCGTTATGGGCTGCCAATACACTTTAACTCTTAGCTTTGTACAATCGGTTCAACGTATAGTTACGGTATAATAAAAGCATCTGGTATCTGAATGAGACCATGTATCATACTCGCGTTATTCTTAATCATTTTCTTAATACATCCCCTCAATTGTGTAACGTAAATTACACAATCTGCACTCAATTACTTAGCATAAGAAAATATGCATAATGCGTTCTTACAAATTCCACGCAAAGTTGTGGTGACATTTTTGGACTCCAAGATAGCTGTTTACTATGTGTCAACAAGTGAACATGATAAGTCGGGATGGATGAGAGTGCATGATAACGATGGGACTGAGCTTAGCTGTTAAAGACAGAACTTGAATCCACACATCGTAGTACTTTACCTAAAATCATTTTAGCTAGGTGCACAGTGAATGATGTGAGCAGATGCTTTATCAGGTGCTTCATTGCGTGCTGATTGTAGGAACAGAATAATCGGTATCCACAGGAGCCATGGATATGTTTACACGAGTGATTCCGCAGGGTATAGACAGTCAGTAATAAGCTAATTAACTTTTACCGAAGCTTCCGAATAGGACGTTCCGTAACAACACTCACCTCTTGCGATATTTGGGCTGGTTGTAGCGCAAAAGAAAACAGATTGCACTGGAGAAAACAAAATCAAGAATTATAGACCACTAACACAAAGACTTGCAATGTATGCACGGAACGTGTCCTTTATGAGAAATCGGCAAGAAGGCAAAAGACTTGTAACTTCATCCGTCTTAAGAGATTTTACTGAGCGAATAATTCTAAGGACGAGCAGACAGATGACAAGTTAGAGGAGAACCACAGCACAGAGGAAGAATTTTATAGAATAACCTCGCAAGAGAAGGTGTAACAATGTATATTTACTATTGCAAATTTCCAACACACAATTACATATATTATAAATGTATAACACATGCGATGTTGGGTAGTCAAAGCAGTTCGCAACAAAAAGGTATGCATGGCTTAGTGATTCATGTTTGAAATACTACAACTGTTGGCAATACTCCGATTTCATACACTTTTGGTAACAATCTTAGAAACATTGGCGTTTTCCAAAAACGAAAATGTGTGTTACGGTTAAAGGAAAGTGCTGTTCTCATGCACCATTCAGTTATGATTTGGCACATGATCAATGGATGATGATAGCAATGAGTATGACTGTCTTAATATCTATGCGAAGCAGGAAAATTTGTCTACTGTGACTGCTCTGTCCTGATCTAAAACAAAGCGGATCAGTTTGCCCTTCAACTTTCACATTCTACCGTGAATTCGAAAATGTTATCTGGCCAACTATATAAGTTCCCTATTTGGTCTTTCTCGTATAGCTTTCTGTTTTACCTGGCTATACCATAAATGCAGAAGCAACCAATCGATGCTGACAAAATGCATCGACACAACGTCATGAGTCCTCCGTTATTACTAACGCATTTCAATCATAACCTACCTAGAACATGTCCCACAAAGGAAAATCAATTGCAAACTCACATTAGTAAGAAAATAGTTAGTATTTATGATGGAGTAAGAAGCGTGCATAAAAAGGAAATTCTCAGGTAGTTCTCAACCAAACAGCGCATACTATCTCCTTTATACGTATCTAGAAGTTATAATATTTATCGAAGAGTCTTACTGGATGGTTTCTTTGTAAACCCAAGGAAAAACGTTTTAAAATAAGAACACAAAGGCTAAGTTTTTGAAAATTGCGTTATTTTTGAGTGTAAAATCAGCTTACTTTTTGTATCTCTTCGGGATACCATTTCGGTTGACACAGCATGTCGCACTCTCCACACGATTGCGGGCATAGCTCGAAGAACACGTTCGCACCAGGCTGAATCGGCCAGCTGCCAACTCGTATGGGACCAACAGCGAAGTAGGAGAGCAAGACCACAAATGTTATTGAGCCTTTCATGGAAGTCCATTGCCTAGCGCAGGACTAATTTTAGTAGAGAAATAATGTGAGCATTTTATGTGACGCTTAAACTTCACACTTCAAATTGAATAAACTGGGACTATCAGCGGAGTTCGTTGATCAGCAAGCTTTGGTAATTTCTGAATAAGCCACACACCAAATTCAGTTTTGTAAATCAAAACATGTTCAAATTCCTGTAGCAGAGAAAAACTGTTACTAAAATGTTTCGAACTGCATAATACATTAATGGGTAGGTAAGCCAAGCTCTATGTTCATGTGAGAAGTAAGGCTTAGGATTCTATGCCGATTTTTAATCCTGTCCAAACGCCAGTTTTCTTCAGAATCTCCTGATAAATGCTCGGGTCAAGTAAAATGGAGAAAAGAACTGTCGGCCACAGTGGGATTCGTTAGTGTTCATTCAATTTGAATACACGAATTTGCTCGTTATTTTTATCAAGGACTATCAGTAGTGTTTTCAGAGACATTATCCTGGCTTGCGACATCCAAATGATAACAACCGTTTTGAATGTTCATGCCTTGAACCATTTTCTGCTGAGATTTCTTATTGACACCTTTTAAATCGATGTATAGGGATAAAGTGACGTAATATACTTTTCCAATTTAATCTCTGAAAAGTGCAATATTCCTTTTTATTTTTAATGCACTTTATCCAATCCATATTGACCTTAATTTATTCCATCCGTTAATCGCATTTTAGATCGTGTTTAAATAAACGAACCCTAACGTAAAACGATTGGCTTATAAGCATGTAGCTGTACAGTGTCAGTATGTATTCGGTTACCTCCGAAGTTTAGTTCCGAAAGCAAGAAGTGAAGTAGCAAATAATAAGCAAAAATAAGTTCGGTAGGGTGAAACTTAGTGCTTTGTTGTGCATCTTGTAGTAAGTATACAAAAAACCTGGAAATATCATTTTAGCACGGTGCATATCAGTGTTTAAGATTCGGACAGAAAGCCACAATTTCAGCTTCCTTCCTCGAGTCCAGTGGGAATCAATCCCGGGTTCAGTGCAACGCACTGTGCTTCGCTTCTGCAGATTAACCATAACTTTCTCCTTAAACGCCATTTGCCTTTCTCAAATCATGCTAATCCTACTTTAGCAGAGTTGATTGGATAATGAACAGTATTACGTACACAGATATCCTTAATAACCTTCAGAACTTTAAAATGACATTGTTCAGGAAAACTGCAAGTTACGCAACGTTACATAACTCAGTTATAAAGAGTTATGCATTATGAGGTTTACTTGCCTTAAAGTAATGGATGGTCTGGCAGTATTTGTTAATTTTAGGAGAGTACACTACACTTGTACCATCGCATCCTGCTTTATGTGTATCAAAAATATAGCATCAGTCAGCCAGTAGAGAGAGAGATTGGTAAATTTCTCAGCTTACGGCAATTCAGGTTTAAAGTTCGATCATTCTGTCCAACCCGATTCAAATATGCGGTATCTAATGGTATGGTTCATCGGCATCATTTGTCCTTAGTCATCCTTAATAATCTACTCTGATTTATAGTCTCTAAATTTTACGTTTTGCTGAAGACGAATAACTTTGGCGCGCGACCAAATGCTTGAACGACCCCAAGATATTCCAAAGCATAATCGATGAAGCCTGGAGTTGGTTGGTGAGGAACGCGCTACTATTTACTGCGAACCAGTGCTAGGTTGAAAACATCCTCCATGGAGGCGCCTAGATTTACGTGCTTGGAAAGAGCGATCTACAGACCACCACACAAGAACGCGTACTCGGAGTGATTGCACAAGATGACAGATGTACCAAATAGTCCGAGTACGCTTCAGAAATAGGTACGAAGCATGTTGGTTTCTTGATGGGGTAGTCGGAAAGCAAAATTCATGCACCTTCTCACTGATACGCAATGCCCAATTGTACCATACTTCGAACACTATGAACAAAGATTTATCACGGGATAAACGCAAGTGCTTGACACGTCGCGTAGGATGGTTGGGGTGAATACGAGGAAATCAAAATATATTTGGGTCATCTACCGAAAGTCTGCCGGGATAAATGATAAAGGACGTCAGTGTACAATTAAAAACATCGAGCGTAAACGGTCCAAAATACACCGGTGTGCATTGGTCGTTGATATAAGGCGTGAGAAAAGTAAAATATGCTCGCTCACTTGGGTCCATTTGATACATAACTCCTATAGAAAAGCATGCTTGGCGTAATCCACAATTGAATAGTTTAGATAACAAAGTGTTGGGAGCTAAGAACAACACGCAAACGCTATACAGGCGCGGCAAAGTCGGCTAAGGCACTACCTCGCAGCGCTCGAGACACTACGGTCTACAGCCTGTTAGACGTCATTGAATTTCTACCCGTCATAAACCATTGTTTCGTGGTTGACCTCTTTCTGGTTAACTAGTTAGTTAGTGCCGCAAATATCAATCATTGTTACTACACACTCGCTTTGCCTTATTAAGCAGTGTCAAGATTGGGTGCAAAGGTTTGTCTTATGTTGCCTAGAGCACAAATTTCAACGGCAGAAGCAAGTGAATTTTCAACTGTGGCTGGCCGATCACTGCTAGGATAGGTATAGCGGATATTCTCAAGTGTAGGTTTTTAGAATGAGCCTAGGGAACTGAGGAGGAGCGAGTGTTTCCCTTGAACATCATGGCATTTGTAATCAAACACTTAACACTTGCATGCCAGGATTTTATGGGATCTAGAGATGTTAGGCGTGAAATTTTAATTCTCTAGTTTACCAAATGTAACAATCTGTTTTAACAGGATGTACTATATTGCGATGACCATCAGCTCGCTTGAACAATGAACAAAGATTTAGGGACGTCAGAAAGGTCAAAGCATGACAACTCCAGTAAAGTAACTAGAGTGATAATTCTAAAATATGGTTTACAGTGAAAGGAAATAAGGAAAATTATGGTTTAAGATGACTCGCCGAGTTATTCACATAAGTATATTTGCTGGTATGCTCAAGGCTACGTAACGAAGAGGACTGATGTACAAAACGTTTGCGTTCATTCTTCTTTTTGTTGAGAACGCGCAATGTCACTTAATGTAAATGGGACAGTGTGTAGTCCTATGGTTCATTAAAAAGCGTTCGTGTAGGGGCACAAATAAGTGAAAGGAAAGTGGGTTCCATGTTCTGGATACCCGAAAAGAGAAACGTTTATGTAAGCAATCAAGTCGACTGTGGTGGCTGGTCAGTTTGATGTGGTAGACTATCTGTTTGTATTGGGACTGACTTGCAAAAGATCGCGACAGACGTGATTTGGGTTAGTCGGTATTTGAAGCACCACACTAAGGTAGTAGAAAGCATAACGACTGACCTTAGGAGGTCAACAAGGTAGGTTAAATAATTGGAGAAATGAAAAGAAATAATGACTAAGTCACCGATTAACATACCGAGATTTCTTTGCCCAGTTATTGAGCTACTTTGTCAGATAAGAGCGGTGATTCACAATAATTTTAGGCGCTCCATCTTTTCAAATACGTGCCAGACTAAAGCGCAAAGCTTTGTGTACTATGGTATGGTTTTAGCTAATAAATAGTTGGATAATGTTGTAACATTTTATGCGTACTGGACAATTCGTGAATGTAAGGATATCAGGAATTTTGCGTTGGGTAGCGGTATCAAAGGCAATATACCACACGAAGCAGACACGCTTCACATCTGAACATGTACCGTAGGTTTATTCTATTCTGTATGTTTAGTTCGTTCTGCCCTCCGTTAGAAATCCAAGAAACGGGTAGCTTGTAAGTAAAAGGGGGATTTACTAGGTTTTTGTGTAGATTCGTCACAGTTAGACACAGAGAGAAAGACAGCACACCTCTAGGAATGCGCTAGACGGCCGGTTCGTCCTAGTGGGACTCGTCAGTAGCGCGCACCCATCGACTCCTACCGGATTCGAGCCAGCGAGTTTACTCTTGCGAGTCAGCTACTTATGTCACTGAGCCATGGGCGAGGGTAGCGGACCACGATGAATGCTATCCAAATGCGATATAGCGCAGCTCATCTTCCACACGCTTGCATGTTATAAATGTGCGGAGAACATCGTTGGCTTCCAGTGCAACGAGTTCCTTTGCAAGCTGCAACCAATCGAGGTGGCATGTATGCTGCTATGGCGACAACTGATTATATGTAAGTAGTAGGGGTGTTTAGCAGGTTTTGTGTAGATTCACCGCAGCCCTGTCATCTGCAAATTCTTAACATGCAAGAGAGTGGAAGATGAGCCGTGCTATATCGCAGATATTAGTCATGGTGGTCCGCTACCCTCGCCCATGGCTCAGTGACATAAGTAGCTGACTCGCAAGAGTAAGGTCGTGGGTTCGAATCCGGTAGGATTCGACGGGTGCACGGTACTGACGAGTCTCAATAGGACGAACCGGCCGTCCAGCGCATTCCTAGAGGTGTGCTGTCTTTCTCTCTGTGTCTAACTGTGACGAATCTACACAAAAACGGTTAGCGTCTATTTTATAGATGAATGCACAGAGAAGCAAGGAACGCTTGCTTTATAAATGATTGGAGCGACATTTATTCCCTACTCTGGTAACATATACTAGGGCTATCTAATTGGAAATGAGATATTCAGTATCAGATAAGACATGTGAGATGGATAAGGGGATGCATGAAAAGCAGTTTGGCTGCAGCTGTCAAACCGTTCTGTTCATGTCGCTAGATATATGGGTTTGTATTTTTTAAACAAGGCCGCTGATCAGTTAAATGATCCTTGATCAAGCTGATACTTCTACCGAAGGAATTCCCATTTATACAGTAGGGTTTTCTAGTGGCATGCTGATGCTGATTCCTGAATTAATCAAGCGTCAGTTCTGTTCCTTTAGCCCCTGGGTACTTTTGTGCGGAATTGCGATTATTTGGCCTAGCCCTTCACAAACCTAGAATTAGTAACTAAAATTAAAAAATAGGTGTATTTTCTTTGCCATAAAATCACCGCTGTGAGAAATATCGTGTTACGAAAGGTAAAAAGAGTAGACTACCTTTTTCACTGTAAGTATTATGATATGTTTCCCATTGACGCATCCATGATAATTCCCAATAACCCCGCCACATATTATTTGACAAATTTACATATAATTAGTCATAACTCATTGGTTATTTTCTGTGCAAGGTAAGCGAAAACATTTATTACATTGGACGGAATAACAAAGGGAATTCAATGTATTTGTTTTAAACCAAAAATAAGCTACGAAGGATGGGGCTTGAGACCCATTTATTTGTACGCAACTGATAGGGAACTGATAGGGAATTATTGCTACGTTGGAATCGCGCTGTCTTTTGACAAATAGGGTTCAGAGAACCAAGTGGAATGCCATAAATATATTACCTGGTGGGCTAGGATAAACTCAAACATATTAGGTGTATGACAACGCAGACAAATTTATCTATCATTCACAGTATACTCCTGAAGAAACTATCAAATGTTAAAAATTATTCCTACGACCGGATATAGTACAAATACTTTGTTTAGAGCTGACACTACTGCGTCGCTTAATCCATTACGAAATTATTCGTCATAAGCTCAAAAGTAAGAATATGAATCAAATAGGAGAACAAACAATGTATATATTGGTTAGATACTGTCGGCTTTCGGATTTGTTTTACATTCGTTATTAGCTGGGTTAGAGATTATGTAATTATTGCTAAGTGCTAGGACAGAAACGCAAGCTGAAAATGGAACACAACTTATTCTTATGTAAACACAAAATGTTCCTTACAGTTAGAGTTTGTTCGAGCTGGGTGACTGACGTCGTAGTGACAATTATGAGGTGTACACTAATGTTCGTCTTCCAAATGAGATGACACAGTCCTGAAAACGAATAACCGAAACTACACATTTGATTGCACTCGCTTTCAAAGAAGGTTGTCTTTCGCACCTCTCACGCTTCCCCCGTGACTTGATTCTGGCTTATCAACATAGTTTGGGCATAGGTAATTTGAGTCAGGACTAGGACTTGATTGTGGCGAATTCTTTAAATTGGCCGTTATATGTTTACTAGAACATTTCTCTCGCTTTACCTAATACGGAATTGCCTATTTTTAATTGGTTTCGGTTATTTGCTTCCTTTAGATCAGGTACAAGGTCTGTATTTTTGTACTTTGCTAATCTTAGAATGTGGACTGAGAAAGCGCCTATCTATGAAGTTATCTGTAGGAGTTTTGTAGCCAAAGAACTGCCGTCCGGATGGATAAACTAGACTTTGATACTGTTCCGTCAACGGCATACATATCCGGCATCGATTTATTCGAGTAACACATGCGATCACAATGCAACTATTACAATTGCATAATATGCTTTATTAGTGACGCTTCTTTTAATCTATTGCAATAAATAGAGCAAAAATGCTGAAACTAGCTCTTCTCGGGTAGGTAAATCTCATATCAACGTTAATTGAATGTGCGTCATTTCCTTCGCCACTTGACCGCTGCATTAGCATAAATTCCAAATAAGAAATGGTCAATACTGCGACCGGATACGGTACAAAATCTACGGCAGAGTCCACAAAGTCACATCAGATATTTCCTGAATATTGTGAAAAGTCTCGTTTAGCGGACCTCCGTAGTGCAACTATGGCGCTGTCGGGCATAAACCATCTATTTTTACGTAAAGAATTAAAACGATGTCAAAACATAGAGTTACGTACCATGTTGACATTTACTATTTTCCAGTTCAACAAAGATCATGGGGTTAATACTTGACCAACACACTCGTCAGTGTGAAAAGCTGTTGTGACAGCTAGTGAGTGAGCCATAATTCCCGTACAAAAATGGAACGCTATCCAAATCGGCACGTTATTATGCTCATATCTTTGTCGGTAGAGCAAGATAGCATAGACTCATACACGCTTATCATTGATGTATGCGTGATAATCACAAAGGCATTTTTCTATTTTACTTTTCTCAATAAGTTATCAAAAAGAACAACAGATGTGCTCAAAAAAGGTAGACATGTTCCTGTTTACCCTAAGAAATTAAATTCCCTCGACATTCCCAGTTGCAGCTTAGCCTCACGATTTGTTCTGCAACGTTTTAACTGTACCGAATGGTAAACACAATGTAATTGCTACCACATCATCGGTACGAGCAACAGGTGTGCAGTCGAGTGAGATAAGTATAATGTAGTGTATAGCAGCAAAGCTCACCGGGCACATAAACCGTGTTTTCGCTTCATCTTTCACCACCAGAATCTCGACGCGACACAGAGTAGCTTGCGAACACAGTTCAATCGGGATCGTGGCATTGAGTGAGCCCGAAAAATAGGCAAAAGGTTCAAAGATGCATACCGAAGGATCAGCCGCATCCCACTGAAGTAGATCGGGGCAGTGCATTGGATATAAATAAGGTAACAAAAAATTACTTGTGCTTGATTCGAAGGGTGAAAGCCTATTGCACTCATTCAGGGGATAATGTAATATATGGTTCAGGATTGGAGGCGTTATTTCGTTGTATGAGTTTGACATTTGATTGATAACATTAGGTTGGTATAAATTAGTGTGGAATGCACAGTCAATTGGTAAATTTGGATAACCTGATGAACTTAGGTTTATGCATTGACTCTCATGGGTCCGATATGGAGGGATATTGGCTTGTAGTTGCCCCGGATGAGGCCAAATGGGAGTATGACATTGACCAGGTGAAATGCACCATTTCAGTAATTCTGAAATGTTCATCAGACGATTGCTTCTGGAGAACATTTGCAGTGTTGATGGAAATGGGCACAGGGATTGAGAAGGAAAGGTCAACAGTTGACTATTTTCACCTAACAAAGCAATCGTTGGTGAATCAGTAGAATCTAGTCCCAATGTGTTTTGGAAATTGAAAGGTAGACCGATAGTTGACAAATGGTTAAAAGTTGGCGTCGCAATATTCACCGTTTTTCGTAGAATAACTGTGAGCAATGTATCTTCTGGGGAGTGTGCAAGAGAGTGCCGATCTTTCCATGCCTTGTGCTTATTGGAACCACAGGAATCAATGCCCATGGCGACTAGAAGGGCTTGGGAAGCAGAAATGTTGACCCCGGTAGGCAAAACGGACGCATCCACGCTGGGCCGGCATATAGGTGTCAACGTGGATAGAGACCACAGATCTGCCAGCAAACCGGTTCTTGAATGTTGACGCCATAGGAGCTCGGTCGCCAGTTTAAAGGCCAGTTGTGAAAAATTTGGGTTCCAGTGGGTGTCTTTCATTCTGGTAAATATGTAAATGCACAATAAACAGTAAGCTTGGCTTTATTACTCAGTTTGATTGCGGTTAAACAGAAGCACAGTGCTTTCCATCCAAAAATTCAGAATAACAAGAAAAAGAATAAAAAGCAAAAATGTGCCAAGAGGATAATCTGAAATCAGGTATTTCGCGTTATCTCGTTAACCGCTTACATACAATTCGAGGCATGGCTAGATTATATACAATGACATTCCGTTTGAAATGTCATTGGCGAATCGAAGATGGTCAGAGTTCACCTGACATCTTTCGCCATTCCGCTTACAGAAAGATGACCACTAACCTCACATAAGCAAGGCGAAACTAGCGATGAACATTGTATCCATACGGAGAATGTGTTTCCGCCGCTTACTTCTCAAAGCCTCTGCAAAAGGTAGTAGGCCGAAATTGTTGTACAGGTTGATTATTTTAATGCATTACGCAGGCTTTTACACATATGGCAGTCAATTATAGTTTGGATGATCAACTAGCAAGCGGCTTTGGATTACTGGGAAGATAGAGCCCACGTTGACTATGATTTGAATACGCGTTAAAATGCTTGTAAAATTCTCTCCTCAGTTCGACCGATGTACTCGCTACAGCAAGTAGTGTAAGAGAGGTGGATGCTTAAGACGGTATTTAGGGTTTAAAAGGATTGGGACTTATCCATAACTCTTGCTTACAGTAGTGTTTGAACGCAATCAAATATTAAAGTTTACGGGTAACATAATAATCCTAACACAAACCCCTGCTAGGCCAAGTGAAACAGTGATTATTACTGTATAACACTTCTAATCGCAACGAAAGGGATGTAGATATGACGTTACTCACGTTATGAATCGCAATGTCACTTCAGGTGTTTCATGGAACAGCCTTAAGTGCTCATCGATATAATGACAACTGATCAGTCCACCGGGATGCCGACCGCATCTGCATGCACACTTGGATATTTGCTGTTCCACTGCGGTAACTTATCGAACACCACTAGATCTGTCTTACTCACCTTAAGTTGACAATTCCATCCTGGTGCATAAATCTCTATACTACATCACCAATACATCATCTATTTACCAGGAAGTGTGCATTCAGTAATGCTGTACAGGCAGGTCAACAATCTCTGGAGAGTGCTCCGGAATGCAGCAGATGATCCGGCGCCACTTACACAAGAAACGGCCAATGCGCTTTAGCAACACCACTCGCTTTTGACTTAGTTCCAAGGGCCACTAGTTTTAAGCTGAGGATCATTTACTCACCAAAATGATGAATAGACTAGTATACTTGCCCGTGGCCAGGTTTCCTGGCGTGGACGATGGAAAACCAAAGGTATTAAAATCCGCCCCTATGAATCTCGCCGAACCGTTTCCTCGGTATGTTCAACGATATCTTGATGAAATGCAGGTTCCGATGATGTGAACAAATGGAAAAATCAGGTAACGTCGCAAAAACGAGAATTGTTTGGAGCCTTCGAACAGCCGTGCAATCCCATGACTTCCAGTGCTATCTAGAGTAATGAAAGGTATTATCGCAAAGAAGCTGCTGGAGATGTCACAGTACCAAGAATCCTGCCGGAATCAGTCCTACATCACATACTTGTTGCTGGCCCGAACACGCTGGACGGAGTCAGTCACTAAACAACGAACAATGATTTATCACGAGTAAAAACGCAAATACTTGACAAGTCCTGTTTGATAGGTGGAGTGAAAAAATAAAAGTAAATGGATCATAGAGTAAGTAAATCGTCACTTTAAGTGCCTACCTATCTAACTGTACTGTTTTATAACGATAGTTTGAAATGGGTATGAAAGTTACACACACAAAATACTATGGCCAACAGTCATTGCTCAAGTATTCTGTGAGAGATATTAAAAGGAAATACAGACGCTCACTTGTCTGCAGCTTCATTTGACCGATATGATACGCTAATCAGTTTAGGTACATCCAAGCTATTCACAAGGACACTTATGCATGTATCCTCACCACCATGTTGCGGAGAATGCTGCTAAGCATATGGTTTGCTTCACGTTCTTTCGTCCTCAGAGTGAAGTGGACTACATCGAGTAATGCCTGCGCGTGTTTCACCAAGGCGCTATTTTGATAAGCGTTAATTTAAGGGCAATGGTGACGTTAGTTGGAAGGGCATTCCAGATTTGGGACACATGGGGGGAGAAAGCAATTTGTCTACAAGCAAGTAGACTTTGATGCATAGCCAGCTTGTGCTACTGGCTTCTCATTTCTGCATTTTGTCTTAGCTGCAACAAATTGCAACGAGGGTGAATTGATTTCTTCAGTATTAAGTATACCACGGTGAGATCTTCTCGCGGAGGTCGATATTCACCACTGTGCAAAAGCAATGCTTGTAGCCTGCGCTGGTAGGGGAGGTGAAGCCATCCACTGACAAGTCTAGTCTACGCTGGGGCGCTTCAAAGGCCGCCGACGGTGCTTTTGCACCAAAGACGACAGATCTGGATCGCATATTCCACGTGGGGCTTCACTTTCTTGTTCGGCATTTTCAGAAAGGTTGAAGGCTGGAAATTTCCAAAAGCCCTCCGTAAGAGACAAAAATGTTTACTGGCTCTTTTCGATGCCTTTTCAGTCAGCCTGGAGCAGCCGTAGTCGTCCTGCACAACACCCAGATGTCAAGTTCATAGGAAACGCATTGCGGCGGCTGGGTCGTAGGTCGTTTTTCATTGGTAAGCTGATGGCGTATGCTTACGACTTTGCATTTCACTGAAGTAAACTCGAGCCGGTTTTCGGATACTCACGTAAAAGCTCTGGCGAGATCGTTCTGCAAGGCCGTGTGGTCTTTCATTGCCTGGATGTCATGCGAGATTTTGACATCGTCTGCAAATAGTAAAGTTCGACTGCAGTACACTAGCAAGATCGTTACTTAATACTACGAATAAACGTGGTCCTAGTACGGACCCTTGGGGCACACCACACTGGACGTCAATGGGTTCCGAAGTAGAGTTGCGGGCTGTCTCAATCACTTGATGTTGAATGAGGAATTTGCTTATCCAACCCAGCAAGGATCACCGGTTCCGTAGCTTCGACTCTTGTAAATGAGAGTGCAGTGGTCCGGACAATCGCACGCATTCTAGTAGTCCAGTTAAAGGACGTCAACCCACTCTGGCATCGGCTGACTGCGTCCAACTTGCTTGGGCTAGACGCAAATTTGTAGTGCAAAGCGGATTTCAGCTGAATCCGTGCTGCTGTGACAATAGGATGTTGATATTAAGGTATCCCATATGCATCTCTGCGACTGTACCTTCCATTAGTTTAGATAACATTGGGAGAAGAGTGATTGGAGGGTAGTTAGACGGCTCTGCACCATTCCCGCTCTTGTAAACAGCAGTGACTATTCCTTGTTTCCACACATTGGAAACCTGCACTTCATCAAGATATCCTGGAAAGAACCAAGCTAATGGTTCGACAATGTTCATCGCGGCTGCCTTCAATGCTTTCGGTCTGATGTCGTCCACGCCATGAGAGTTGTATACTCGCAGGGACAATAGTCTTTTCATCAAACTGGCTACAGTGAGCAACACGCGGTTCAACCCTGGTAGCGGTGGGTGCTGTGTCGAAAGCGGGTGAGCTGATGAATAACTCGAGTCTAGATGAAATGTAGTCGAAGCGTGTTGGCTGCGTCTAGCATATTTTGTGACAGACCATCTCTTGCACTTTAAAACCGGGATCCAGCGCTGCTCGGTGCGGAGCTTATTGACGTGTCTGTACAGCGACCTAGGATTTGAGCTGAATTTCGCCGCTCAGTTCTGTTGGTGCCGGAGTTTGTCTTTGCGGATCAACTAGCCACAGTGGTTTCGTTGAGTTGTATGAACATCCCAGTTTTGATAACTCAGACTGACTTTATGTGCGCCAGGGTGAAGCACTTAAGGCCATGTATTTTCTACTGCGGCTCCTCAAGAAGGACTGCGTTTACTTAGAGCGAAAGACTTTGTTTGCGCAAGCATTTGCCACTAGCCCTGTGAATGGAGAGACAAACAATAACCAAGTGACATCGGGCGGCTTCTCGGCCTGGACGGACCAGTCGGTTTCTTAACCGAGGTCGGACAAAATATTATAATAGGTGACGACGTGGGTTTCGTCATTGTACTCACTGATGTATTCCGAGTAGCAGATGTAATGAATGAGCAACGTCGCACGATCGCTCCGACCAAGTGGTGCATCTATGGTCACGGTATTGACCATTGGTTCCGCGTTGGTTAGCAGGGTCCAAAACAGATAGTGCATCACGTGCAAGTCAGTCCTGAATTGTTCACTGAGAGATGCTGGGACTCTGAGTGCGTAAATTTCGAAAGTCTCCACCAGAAGGAAGTGACAGTGCAGTTGTGTCAGGATTCGCTTAATCGCAGATGATAAGCTTTGATTTATTTCCAAGTTGGCTATTGAAGAGCGATCTACTATTGCAAATAAACGTACATCACTAAGTCTTAAGCGCATACGGCATCAGGTATAATCGACTACTTGTTTTTATGGTTCCTCAACGAAGTAAATATGCAGGTCGGATCAGAAATACTGGAGCACTCCTCCTTCTTTCCTGTGTCGATCGATTCGTATGGATGTCATGCCGGACAGATCAATCTTAGCATCAGTGATCTCCGCGTTCAGCCACCTTTTATGGGCGACCATATCTTTATCCCAAAACTTGGAAATCTGACGAATAAGAAGTTCGATTAGCTTGCTGAGATGACCTTGTGCATTGGTATACAAGCAGGTGCAGGCATCGGAGATTAGAAGTGTATTAGAGAATGCTGATTTCCAGTGAGGTTACATGCTGACCCCCGTGGGGTCGGCTGTCGATTATTAATTTAGTAGGACAGTCGACACAAGCAATTGGGTTATTCCGGACTGTGGTGTAAAGCGCTCAGTGCCGGTAAGATGACGACCTTGTGCGCCTTCAGCTACTGGCGTGTTTTGTCACGGTCTCTCTTCGGAGCTTCATGATGATGGGGTTCTACGGGTAAACTGAT